GGGTAGAGATGTACCTTATAGACTGAAAAAAATATGTATGCTGAAGTCTTGATTAAAGAAAGCCATTTACAGAAACTGTCCACTGCATGGCAAGTCTAGAACAATCTGAATTTTGTTCTATGATTGGTTAACAAACAACTGAAACTCCAAAGATTTTTAGACCCAAACTAGTAATTAACCACAGTCTCATACAACATATTTGGTGTTTGCTGTGCCATTTCTGTATCTTACAGTTTTTAAAGCATCAGCTATTTTTACAGAGAAGGAAGGATTTTACCACAAACTGTGTAATGATCAGAAATATATGTTTTGGGAAATGGGGTGTGGGAGGGGGTGTTCAGGAATCATTTTGTTTAATCAATCAGATTCTTCCACTAAAACAGAAAGTAAACCTTACAAAATACTTAATGGGTAAAAGCTCCTTTCTAAAGCTACAAATTCTTGACAATGTGCGAATTAGCTGTAAAACTGTTAATCTTTTTGTAAAGTTAATTTTATACTTCTTCTAAGAGCAACTGCATCAGATACAAGCCATTCTCTACCTGAATGCCCATCTTTCAGCAAGACATTGTCTATAAATGAGGGGAAATAAATCTGAAAAAGTTCTCCAGTTTCTTCAGGAAAAAAAGAAAGAAAGTATCAAATCTTACAGTATAACACTACAATAAACAACATGGAAAATTAACAAATGTCCCAAAACTCCTGTTCACCATGTACAATATCAACCTATGTTACTTTTAAACTTCAGTCCACGCTGCTTGACTTGGGACAGCTGGGACTGTTTTGGGTTACTTTTCTGTTGTTGCTGCTGGTTCCTGTTGCTCCATGGGCTTTCAGAATTTCAACTAGAATCAGACCCAGCTGTTGCTTCTATTTCAATTTCAATGACTGAAAAACAAACACTCAGTCTGAAACTCCTCTCTTAAAAAATATCAGTATTTAAATGGTTATAAGGTAGCTTTGAAATTAAATTAATTTGAAAGAATGTGAGCCAAATATTTCCAATAATGCTAATGTTAACCTAGCATATTAACCTTGCCTTTTATGAGACCAGTAGCCAAGAGACAAAATTGAGACTTTTGACAAACAAAAACCAAATAGATTTAGACACTGAAACTCTGGTCATTTTCATGTGAATTATTTTGATTTTGACAGCTCAACTAAGGTTTCAAGACAAGATGTTTCATTTTTAAAACAACTGTTTAGGTTTGAAAATAAAATCTGCAAAATGCTTTTAATTACTTGGACATTCAGTGGCACTAACATGACTAATTTTCTTAGCAGATAGACCAGCAACAGATAACAGTCAGATTTAGTTTATAAAAGTACAAAACACACCTAAGGTACAGACCATATATTGCATAAAGGTTACAATATTAAAGCAGTTACTGCCTGCTTTAATTGCCTTCACTGTTGCTGTCTAGACTGATTTTTCTGCCCCCTTGCTGAGGTTATAATAATTGAAAAAACACAGACCTCTTTAAAATATATTTCTGAGACTTGGTAGCAACAGTTAGACAGACACCAGCATCAACAAACATAAATTAGAATGTGAAACAGCAAAGAATTCTGACCTGATTTTTATCAATGATAGAAGCCGACATGAGGGCAGGTATCATTCTTGAAAAGAATAAAAACTAGCAAGAGAAAAGTAACTGCTGAAACACAGCCACATAGGTGTAAATGACTACTGAACTGACAAAGATGTAGAAAACAGCTCCTGACTACTCATTCTGAATTGTCAGCTTGTTCACTGCCTACACTACCCTTTTTCAAACTTCTAGATAGCAGAGGATGGGAAAAAAAAATCAACCCTTCATTGTTTGACAAATTAAAATCTAGTAGTGGTTAACTTAGTTTCATTTTTAAAAACAAGCACTCAAAATTATATGTACATATTTTACACCCATACCCACAAGATCAATTAACACTTCCATATGTTGGATATACATATTGTGCATGCGTGTGTATTCATTCCACTACCCCCCACAATTATGATTAAACCAATAATCCTTCCTCACCCCATTCCTTCCAGACCCTACACAGCCCCACAAGTATCCTGAAGAGGCATCTTTCACTCTCATGGCTCTAAAGCCCAGGTGGTGCTTGCCCCAGCTTGCGAGCCAGACCAGACCAGACCAACCCCCTGTAGAGTCCAGCACTGGGTCCAGTCTGCATGCCACATGCAGTGCATGAGGTAGGGACCAGTGCATAGGATCCAGCCCGGGGGCCATATGTTTGACACTCCTGATTTAGAAAATAAGTTCTTTGGGGCACAGGCCACTGTATCTGTGTGTACAGTATCTAGCACAATGGTTTCTCTATTTTTGGTTGATTCTTTGTCCATACTCTAATAAATATTACTAAAAGTCACCCCCTCAGCTTAAAAGATGGACCACATCAAGCATTCAAAAATTGCATTTGGATTTTATCTGAAGTTTCACATTATTCATTCTTAAACAAAGATCCCTCTAAACTATTCTTTAAATGCTGTTTATGTACAGGAGGAATGCACAGTTCCTTCCATCTGCTGTGCCATTTCTCACACATTATCAGACTACAATTTATAAATACATTATTTCTGTCATGGACTGTCTAACTAGAAAAATCAAGTATTTCATTGAGAACTAGCAAAAGAAGCTCTTTTAAAATCAAGTGGTCTCTAGCTTTTCCTCATATGTTACTCCAGAGTGCCTATTTTGTATGCTTTGGCACAAGAAGTATATTATCAAAGACAAGCATTATAGCCTTTTTCTCATAGCTACCAATTTCTCCTTTGTGCAGTAGGCAGTAATTGCTATATTTTGTAGTTAAAATTTATGGAACCAGAGATTTAAAATTTTTAATGGGCTGTAAAAGACTTCATTTGGCACTATTAAAGCTCCACAGATATCTTTGGCTTCCTATCAGGAGGAAATGGTTGTAAAATATATAAAGCCTTCTAGCATAAGCCTCAGGGTTCAGTTCTGAAGTGCAATTTTCACACCACATTTAATTTATACTGTGGCTTTTTAGAAACAGAATATCAGAAATAGAATACCAATAGAATAGAAATAGAATATCAATACACCTGAGGACCTGCAAACAATTTTAAAATAAATGTTGACATAGCTGATTTTCACTAGGAATAGACTTTTTAAAAACTAATGGAAGTCTCTTTAAAAGCAGTTCTAATTATTTTGCTACTGAAATGCTACTTCAGACTGTAGTCTGGCAGACATGAACTAATGGGACGCATTGTAACAAAGCGCACTGCACTGTGATTATCTTGTACCAGTCAGTTTGATGCGTTATTTTTTGATGCATGTTTAAGAATATATGGAAAAAAGTGAGGAAAGGCTGATTCCTTCTGCAGTAATCAGAACGGTCTACTCATGTGAGGACAGAACCAAAAAAAACTAGGTGACATCCTCCCAGAACAGTGATGAGACCTTTGGATCTTCATTTGTAATTAGGAAACTAATACACAATGCTATCTATGCAGCATCTTTCACCAGCTCCGTGTTTTTACTTTACCAGCTCATGAGGGAGACAAAATATTTTTCCCTCTCATGATCCATGGCAAATTTATAACTTTACAATTAATATTATATGCATGAACACACACACATATATGCATATATATACCTCTGTGTGTATTTGTACATATCTAAAATTTACACATATACTGTGTGTGTGAATATATGTACATTTACAAATTTACAAATAACGTTAATGTTTAAAAGATAAGGTTATTTTAAGAGAACAGAATTCAGAATTATTCAAATTTCAACATATATAAATGATAAGACTTCTTTAAAAATATATTGTGCATATATTTATGGGGTGCAGGACTGGGAGTCAGGAAACCTTGGTTCTATGCCTTTCTCTGCCACTGACTTATGTGATTTATTTACTTTGCAACTCAGCAAGTCACCCTCATTTTCTATGCTTCTGCTTCTCTGTTTGCAACGTGGAAATAGTAGAAACTATACATTTAAGAAGTGCACTTGCATCAGTAAATCTAAAAGCACTGCAGCCATGACATCTAACTAACATTTCTTTCACTTTGTTCAACTTTTAGCTATTTAATATTTCTTTCTATTTTTAGTCCTTCTAAATACTCACAGAGCACTTGTGTATGTTTATTCAAAATATAAGAGGTAATGATCACTTGCAATATTACCAACTCATGGAGTTCAGACCAAAAATTTAACCCACTTCAAATTACTTACCATATAAAACTGGCCCTACAATGAAATGGGTGCAACAAAGATGTGCTGTTTCCTGATTATTATTTCCCCCCACCAAGTTTCTAATCTCCTAAATATGTATTACTTACCAGGAAAACCTTGAAATGTGATTCTTTCTCCAGGGACAGACCCACTGGGGGGAGCAAGGATTTCCACTTTATCTGGTGAGCTGGCACACATCACCATTGCTTGAGATATCACTCCCCTCATTTTCGCAGGCTTCAAGTTACAGAGTAATACTGCCATCCGGTTCTGCATCTGTGCATACGCAAAAAATAATTTAAATTAGTTCCATGTATAGAATATGAATATGCCTAGTTTGGGCCGACTGCAAAAATAATCCAGGGACAGGCCATGTAGCCTAGCGTAATGCTGTTCAGAAGCAAATTTAAATAATTTGCAGGCATGCACAGCCACTTCTGGACTGTAGTAAAATTGAAATGTGGAAGAATTTTGAATTACCTTGCCAATAAAGACAATTGAAAACTAAAGTAAATAACTGATGAAAGGATTAACTTGTTCTCCCTTCAATCAAAATTGAACATGATTGCACATATATCCATAAGGATTTCTTTATTTCTTAATAATGTACTTCTGTTATTATAGAATTAAGGGATGTTTTTCATTAATGTAAAATACAGCTATTTTAAATAGCAACAGTTATTTAGAGCTTTCTGCCATGTGGTATTACCTCAATCAGCCTTGTCAGAGTGCTTTTACAAACATTTTGGTTAGTCAATCATTTCCTAAATGTGGGATATTAATTTCCACAGGAAAAAGGTAAAAAAATACGCACAAGGAACTCTGTTTTGTTTTACTAAAACAGAAAGACTAAGCAAAGCAAGCAAAAAAGTCCTCTCAAAGAAACTGTAAAAAGGTAAAAAACAAAACAACACCCCCCCCGAGAAACTGAAAAAAATTTAAAGTTTCTCCAAGTATAAGAATATTCTTTAACCTGAATAGTTTTAAGTTTATTCTGACTGGCAGAAAGTAGGCATCTTAAAAGTTTGAAATCAGATATAATGGCTCTTTGAAGATACAGAAAAAACAGCTGAAAGTAGAAAGCCTAACTTAATAAATGTGCAAATTAAGAAAAAAAAAATCAGTCAAGTGCAAACGTAATTATATTACAAACTGTATTTCTTTTTAAAGTTACAGAGGCACATAATAAATGGATAAAAATAATTATTTTGAAAAGAAATAGGAATATGGTGACTGGCTGTTATCTCTGTCATTCTCACTTATTCATTAATAAATGAAAAAATACACAGAAATAAATGCACCTAATTTACTGTTCTGTAAATTGTCACTAAAAACATGTAATCATATAAATAGCAGAAAGAAAGGTAGCTATTAAAGTTTGATACAAATGTGAAAGAAATGCACTGAACTAGACATTTTACTAGACAGAGATGACTAGGATAGATGTACATAGTTGAGGAGAGAGTCAGGAAGGAAAAATCAATCTCCCTTATAGACAAACTACATGTAACATTTACAAAATACCCTTCATATCAACACAGCCCCAGATACATTCACAGCCACATATTCATGCCACTATTGAAATGCAGATGAAAATAAGGGCGGGACAGGAAATTTCAGCTAAAGAAGCTAAAACAAATTCTTACGTTAATAAAAGGTACTAGGGTGAATAAGAGAGAGTTTGCACCTATGCAGAGCTGCTAAATACTGGTGTGAACTGGTAGTCTCACACACATTAAACTGAATGAAAGAGTTAAAAAAAAAAATCAAGTTAATCTTTTTTTGAAATGATGAAAAATTAAGTTCGTTCTGCTAGCATTCAAACCTTTTGTTTAAAAAAAGAATAGGTACTTTAATTACAAGGTTTAAACCAGTAAGAATCTGTGACAGCCAATGTTTCTTGTTGAAGTAAAATAAGTTTTTTCTTAAAACGTAAGGGTGTTTTATATCCAAAGTTACAAGAAAAAATAAGTATACCAACTAGTCTTCAGCAATTTACTTCAAAGTAAAAGGGTCACAACAGGCTACCCTTCCTTAGTTTGAAGTCAGCACACACAAGTTGAGTTACACTATGAGTTAAAACCACTACAACTCCTTAAAAGCCAGAGGAGCTGCAAAGCCAGTAACAACAAAAAATGCTTCTCAAGTTATCATGCACTTGTCTGAATGTTAAGTTTGCCAGAAAACATAATGTGCAGACCACAGATTTGGTTACATAAAATATTTCTTTCTGTTTCCTACCAGAAAATGAACATATAAGGGTATCTAATGTGGATCCTGAAGTTTAATGCTTCAAAAAGCAATGGAAAATTATTTTAAAAAAACAAAACCAACAAAAACTGTATAGTGTTACAGAGGAAGTGCCAAAAAGTTTACAGTTGTTCATACTGAAGTCACTCTATGCTTGATTTTCTATATGATTTATGGAAACATTTTTCCATGGAGTAGACAACCCCCCCTCCCCAAAAAGAGATCAGGAATGCATGTAAGGAATAGAATGAGAATCTCAAATTGTAACAGAAAAAAATTATTTCAATACCATCTTCTGACAAATTCAAGGCTGGCCTTTGAAGAATGATTTGGAATGATGGATGGTCTCAAGTTTTCCTCAATGAAAAAAAGGTCTATGCTTAATAGAAAAGTTTACACTACAAAAATTAGAACCATAATTCTCCTGTGATGCAGCTTAACACAGCCAAAACTCAAGTATTTCTACTCATGACAATGTCTAATCCTAAGAACAAAAGCTAGATTACCTACAATTGCCTACAATAGAAATGCCTAAACCTGAACTACATTACTGCTTACTCCACTGTTCATCCCCCTTCTCTCCCCCCCCACCCCCCAGCCTGTCTCTCACCCATTGACTCCTCAATCTACATTTTCACTGACTATCGTCTTGTATGCAGACCAGCCCAGCCTCTGGCTTCTTTACTTTTAATTCCATCCAGGAAAAGCACACACCAACTGCAGAAACTTCCTTAGCCTGACAAAGGGTTTTTGAACCCGAAAGCTTGCTTAATAATTGTTTTCCAACTATTTAAGTGGGTGTAATAAAAGATATCAGATTCGTGCAAAGAACCTTGTCTGCCTATGTCCTTAGACCAACACGGCTAAAACCTACACCCCTGTAACAAAATAACTATTCACTTTGAACCTGCCAAAAAAAATCTCTGAATTCTCTACTGTGGGGCATTTTGGAGGATTATTTTTCTCCAGCAATTAGGTTACAAAAAATAAGAAGGCATGTCTATTATTTCTCTGAATTGTCTGCAGTGTATTCAGTTTGTTTACAATGAACTCTTAGTAGCTTACAGTCAAGATAATGCAAAAGATGAAACCAGATGGCTAACAGTGAACCTTTCAGACATATACATTTTTACCTCTGCAAATCTGGTAAGAGAAGTAACACCCTACAATATGACAATGCACTATGTGGAAGAGTTATTGCACTCAGCTTAGTATTTAATAGACAACTGTCTATGTCAGAGGTGTCAAACTTATGGGCCCCCAGGCCAGATCTGTTATGTGGCTGCAGGGCTTGTAGAGGCACTGAGATTTTCAGAGTAGGGCCCATCCCTAAAATTCAGCGCACAAAGCTCCACTGGGAACATGTGCTGGTGGTGGGGGTGAGCGACAGCTGTTAGTCCTAGAGGTCACTGGCATCACTCATCCCACCACTGCAGAGAGATCCAGTCCTGAGGGGCAGTTTGACATACCTGGTATATATCATAAAAGCCACAATCAATGCTGATCCCAGCTGCAACCCATGCTGGCAGTCTCACCATTGAGGATAGGAACTGGTCACCATTTGAGAGTAAATCAGTTCCCCCAAGATCAGAGTTTCCTTTAGGCCACATGATGTAGGTTTGATTGCCAATGGAGGGGAACGTTCAATTGCCAGGGGTCAAGTTATCTCATCCCCTCCAACTCCACCAGTCGCACCAGTACGCAAAGAGGATGTTATCCTAGTTTTCAAGCCATCATTTCCAAATTGTATGAGATACAATATGCTGTAATGCTATAGAATTCAGTATCATGCCTGTGTAGAAGGATTTCAGGTTCATATACTGGTTATGTCATCTGTAAACAATTTAGGTGTTTACAGATGACCAGGGACCTACCTAAATCACGGCTGCAGTGCAATGATGCCTTTAATCCTGTTCTTTTTTGCTGTGTGCTCCCCCTGCTGCTGAGTGGTGAGGCAAGAACCACAGCATTAACTGCCTCTTGGCCACCCAGCAGCAGGGTGGAGTGAGCAGCAAAAAGAGCAAGATTAAAGATGCCACTGCAGCGTGAACTTCTGTCACGATTTGGATATGTCCCTAGTCATCTATAAACACCAAAACTGTTAAGGAATCAAAAATGACACGGTAATATAGCAATCAATTCTTCACCCTGTTTAGATAGTTCAGGCATTATTTTCAAATCAACACTGTGTAATAGTTCCAGAGTGAATTAAATCCCACGTAAAACACTCTTGGTCCAGGTATGTCTTAAAAAAAAAAGAAAAAAGAAATACAAGTCCATCAACTAAAACCACAATGCATGTTATCTTGAGTCTCAGCTATAGCGAGTGGGCTTCTTGAAGCAAATCTAAATAGTTCTGGGATCCCAGTAACATAAATTTAATTAAATTTGTCCAGAGAACACGGGACCTTGTACACCAGGCTTGTCCAACATGTGGCCCGCCAAGCCATTTTCTGTGGCCCGAGGAGCTGCAACAGGAAACAAAAGTAAACGCTGTTTACTTTCGTTCCCGCCCCTTGTCCCTCCCCCAGCCCCCCACCAGCTTCTTAATGGCTGCTGAAGGGCTGGGGAAGGGACAAGGTTCCCACACGCACCGCGTCAGCTTGACGTTGCCAACGCAGTGCGTGTGAGTAGTAGCCAGCAGCGAAAGCGCTGGTCGTGGGTGTGGTGCGGGGAGGTCCCGGGCAGAGCTTGCACTAGCCAGCACCGCAGGCAGCAAGTGGACCCTGGCCAGGTACACATGGGGCAAGGGGAGCAGGGACAAAACCTCCCCAGACCCTCCCCAGTCAACTTCCCCCGTGCCCACCGCTTGCACCTGGCTCTGCCCCTCGGGGCTGTGCCTGGGGAGAAGGAGACATCATCCCGGGGCCCCCGTGCCTGTCCTGCTCCATGCTCACCTGTGTGGTTCATCTTCCCGGCAGTGGGCAGAGAAGTTGCAGCCGGGGGCTGCCTGGGCGCTGCCCCGTGCCCAGCTCGCAGGTCCCCGTGCGAGCGCGTGGCGCCGGCCCAGGCTCGTTGCGCCACCT